TCGGCTTACCAATTGCTTCCAAGCATGTTTTTCAAGCAAATTTCTCAACAGAATGAAGAATCCTTATCATAAGAACTCTCTTAGCTCTCGACACAATAGCAAGTGTGAAGGCGCTTGACCTAGCATTAGGACAAAGCAAAGAACGCTCACACATTGACGCTGAACATAGTACAAGGTTATTACCAGCAGATGTGGAAGTTCACAACTTTCCTGTCACTATCCATCAATTAGAATCAACGACATGTTTAGTCCCTTGTCCTCGTGAATGGGCAGGGGCTCTGATTTCTCAACATCATTTTACTTGGCATCTTCTAACCAGTGGTTCATCTCATTCGTGCAGTGAGACTTTCTCAGAAGTAGCAAAGAACTGAACTTTGCAATGCCGATACATGTTTGGTGGGATAGGCATCTGTTAAGTTCCTAAGTAGACTGATGTCCCCTAGTTCCTCTTTTGCTTGGAACTGTTGTCCACTTTATGCTTTTTGAGTATCAATTTCAGTCCCCCATCAATTAACCTGCGAGTAATCGTAGATGTTCGCTTCATTCACCGGAGAAGTGCATTCAGGATGGAGTATGACAGCTCTCAGCATCCATACGTTCAAGGACACGCTGCGCCTCTTCTTCCGTGGATGGGACAACTTTCCGAATCCTCAATCCGTCATTCAAGGCCTCAGGACGTACAGTGAATGTAAAGTAGAATTTGTTTGACACCTGCTAGGATGATAGATGAAATATATTAGGAGTATCTAAGACATGGTGATGTGAAGCCAAGTCTGACATGAGATATGGTAACTTCACAAAGGTTCAGTTCATTATCTAGTTAGGATTAAAGACAGACTTCAGTGTCCCCCAACTAGGTGACATTGTTCATTCTCGTTAATTCTCTGTTTGAATTTTCTTATGCATGATCATCATGTTAAGAGTTGGTAAATAGTTTGCGCCCACATGAAGGGGAGAGTAAATAGATAAATCCCCTAACCACAGCATCATTTGGCTTCCGATCAGAGTAGCGAAACGATATCAAAATTTGCTAAAAGAAAATGTAACACACATGGGCCACAAGTACCTCGCTTGATCTGAGCTCAGGTCGCATCACATGGGCCACAACTTCGACATTTATTAGGGGTTCAGCTGGATTGTCAAGCTCCGTATACAGAACACAGCATTTGAGGCGGAGAAAATTACCAACATCCACCTACATCCCAAAGATAAGATCCTTCATGTTATGATCTTCCACTTAACAGATCCATAATTCTACTCATATACATCAGACTGCAAGAGCGAAGGAACAATGCGAATATCCCTGCTGATTGCCACGGTTCCACACTCAGCAGCTAAGTCATGCAACAGCATCACCTACACATATGAATACATCAAGCGCAGGATGAGTACTTACCGGTCTCAAGAAATCAACATGGTCAACTTCAACGAACCACGGTGCCACACCAGCAAAGGCATATGTGGTTGAAAAGGCCAATTCAAAAGCCCTTCGCATTAAAAATCCTCCGAATATTCTTCCATGGATATTCCTTTGCTGTGGCTGGCATATTAACGAGTTCTCAAAACAAGTATCTCTTATCAGAATGCTATCTCTGTCTGCCAAAGCTGGCATATCACAGAAGACACGACCCTCGGCAAGTAAAGCCTGGAGCCTGGACAAATCCTCTAGCTTAGCATCTCTGTTACGTTCTTCTCTCTTCTTTTTCCTCATTTTATTCCTATTTTCTGCCTCTTGCCAAAGTAATTTTTCTCTCTGTGTCTCTGGTGATATAGGGTTAACTGGAGCTGATTTCCCAGTTCTAGAATCACGAGCCACAAATGTGAAATTGGCGGTAAGTGCAACTGAATCTGAGGAATCCTGAGTTTCTGCATGGAATTGTCAGTTTAAGGTAAACAGCAGAATGGATCAGTCATAAGACTATATCATGGAAAGAATAACTTTATGAAGATCTGATATCTCAATATTGTGCTTGACCAACATGTCAGAAACCTTGACAAACCAGCATAAGAGGATGTTGATTAGCAAGCTTCTCCATAGCATGGACAGGTTTACTGCTTTATTTGTTTATTTTTTGGTAATAAGGGAATGGTGGATGGATAGCAAATTAGCAAATTTCTCCGCAGTTTTTACGAGTAAAGTAACGAAATCATGCAAGAGCAAGGATGCTTGTGAAGAATAAACATATACTTAAGGCACGGCCATCAAAGTGACACCATCCTTTGGGATCAGGAGTAACGTGCTCCTGCAACTGCTTAGTGGCAGCAGATGGAAATGTATGTTCTCGTCCAATAAGCCAACAAAGCAATGTCATCAACTCTAGGAGAGAAAGTAGCATACTATCATCATTTGGAAGCACTGTTTCATATAATACCTTTTGTCGACTGAGTTACTTCCAGTTGGATCTCCATCGATGAGCGCCCAACCCACGTAACAGCTCCCGCTATTTGCAAGTCAGTGTCAATACGGATTGGCCTCTTGAGAACCATCCTGTCTACAGAAGCAGTGACTAGCAATAGAGGCCTTGTGGTGCCATCGTCGCTGGAGCAATGCTGATCCAAAAGAAAAAGGCTAAATAGAATGGGGGGATGTTCTGTTACGCACTATTCTAATGATGAATTCCACACTATATGAACTACGAATAATCACTAGAGAACTTAAGCACTAAGCCTCCGATTGCAGAACCTGATATGGACAAAGATCGATGAGAATTTAACATGCTCTTATCCAAATGATAGAGACAAGTTACTGCTTATGGCAAATAAATAGCATGTTGTTCGATCTTTTCGTCTAAGAAATGAACTCCTCTGTAATACCAGATGGCCAATTCTAGATTATTCAAACAAGGACTTGACATTCAGACTACTAATAGAAGAATACTAGAACTGATTACCCACCAACTAAGCACCAGTATCTATCAGTTCTATATCGGGAATATATCAAAGCACCGCAAACTGTATTACCTAACTCTAGTAGTGTCAACGACATCATATGCAATTCATCTTCTGCAGAAAAAAGCCCATAGAATATGCACCGAGAAGATTTAGCACGAAAAACATCGCAGAGTATAAACGGCACCACATTCAGAGAGAGGAAAAGAACGGATCGCCATCCAGTAGGTGTTCAAAGCTCGGTTTATCTACCTTATAGCATATAGTCCCAGCGAGAGCATCGAGATCTTCCACCAGCTTCCCCATCCTGATCTTATTCCAGGGATTCCTATACTGCTCCCTGAGCACATAATCGCCCGAGAACTTGTAGAAAATGCTCGTCCTGCTCCTGGACGGGCTCCTCGGAACCAACTCGCTCCCCGGCGACGCAGCACTCCCGCTAGCACCGGCCTCCTCGAACATCTTGGATCTCGCTTCCCACAGGGCGTTGGTGACGGGGGAGAAGTACATGCCGGGCCACAGGCTGATCGGCTTCCGAATCGACGATCCGGCGTCGATGGGCGGGGAGCTCTCGGAGGAGGCCGCCGCCGGGACCGCGGTCGCCGCCGGAGCGGGGGCCTTGCCGTCCGCCGCGTCGGAGAATCGGGCGACGCGAGCGCATGGCTGGAGAGGAGGGAGCTTGGAGAGGAGGCGGTTGGAGAGCGTTCTGCCGAGGGGCGTCATCGTCGTCGTCGTGGACCTGCGGGAGTTATCGGGGAGGAAGGAAGGTGGATTTTAAGGGACGTTGGACTTTCAATATGATGTACGGACGCCGTGATTGACAAATAAAGTAAAAAAATTATTGTTTAACAAAAGAAAATGATAAATTATAGGGTTAATACCAATAAAAAAAATCTATACTTTCATGATAAATTTATCCAAATTTAATTTTTTGACTACCAAAAACTCCAGACTGATAATGACAAATTTACACTCCGTTAGTTTCTATTAAATTTTATCGTCAAATTGTTGAGTTAAATGACACGTGACAGTTAACAAGTGTACTAATTTAGAGTGTGACCTTCTGTTTGTCACAGCTATATTTTTTTAGGATTTTTTTTTATGGTTTGTTATTAGTATACTAGTTTGGGATTTTTTGTGGTAAAAAAAAATAGTTTTTGATGACAAAATATTAGAAACCTTTATTTTCTTTTCTCTTAAACAAAACAAAACATGGTGCTTTCAAAAAAACAAAAACAAAAACAAAACGTGGTGCTTGCGCCATATATAAGACATTATATTAAAAAAAGCTATGTAGAGAGATGGAATGCACGTCCTGATAATTTTCATTATATGTCAAAGATGGTTGAGCAAAAAAAAAATTAAGAAGGAATTATTTTTTTGATAAAAAGGAAGAAAAAAAAATAGCAACCGAATTTGTCATGAAGGACATCATCACCTATAAATATAACCCTCTCATTTTTTTTTATGATAGGCCTATTGGAATTTGTCATCAAAGACCACAACAAACATCCATCGTGGTTGAATAGCAGCATTGTTGTTCTTACGACACAATTGCAGACTCAAAATTTACTCGAGAAAACTCGTAGATAAACAAATTTGGCGAATCCCTTCTTCACCTCCACCTATAACCTCCCAAATATCGAAATGCTACAACTACATTTTTCTCCTCCCTCTTTCTTCGGCAACTAAGCGCACTTTAATTTTTCTTTTTAAATTTGTAATATTTGGAACTTTCGAAAATCGAAACGTGGGCCCCACATGCTTGCCACCCATGTCTCAAATTGATGGGCAAAAAATCATAATCTATAAAGTACTGCTCATAAATAATTGTTCATATTACTTATAAAAATGAATGAACAAAACGTATTTTCGTTACTAATGAAATATCTAAGTACATATTGTTACGTGAGAATACCTTATACTGATTAATTTTTCTAAGCAATAAAATGTAAGGAGATACTTTTCAAATTATTTATTTTTTTCGAAACAAATAATCCCTGCCATCCCAGTCTTTCGTATGAGTTTGTGGGTTTTACCTGTAGTCGCTCCTTCCAATTCTACCCCTCAAAAGCCCGTCATTTCACAAATTTGACACTCGGTGCTGATGCAGAATAAAAAGCACGAGCTAGGGCTTGTTCTTCTTCTTCTTCTTCTTCTCAATTTCTCTGAAACGCGCGCTCTGCCTTTCGTCCCAGCATCGAACGAGCGACCTTCTAGCGAAGTGAGTTCAGCTCTCGCTCTCGCTCTTCGAAATTTCTGGCTCCCTCTTTCCTTTCCGTTCAGGGTTTGTTTCGTTTGGTTCTTTTAGGGGTTTGGTATTGGTTTCCCTTCCTTGAATTCGCTTTGAATCGCTGCATTTTCTAAGTGCATCTTTCATTCTAAGCTTCTTCGCAAGTTGCTGCAAAACGAGGGTCGAGATGAGCGCACGAGAGGGTCGTCTGCGTTTCGGTATTTGGGGGGCTTTATAGGGGGAGGCGAACATGGGATTTGCCGTGAACCTGTTTGTTCACGAGCCCTTCCTTCCTTCCTTTTTGGGCCTAAATTAGTTTGGCAATTTTGTTTCTTTCCCGTTGATTGAATCCCGATTGTGGGTGTTCCTGTTTCAGGGTAGAGGAAGCGCCGGCTGAGGATTAGGAGGATGAGCGGAGGCGGAGGAGGAGAGAAAGGGTCGGCCACCACGAAGACCCCCGCGGATTTCCTGAAATCTATTCGCGGGAGACCGGTCGTCGTCAAACTGAATTCTGGAGTCGATTACCGAGGTACTTCTCTCGACATCGTCTCTTTGTGTTGGGAGAGTTCTTCAGCAAAAATTTTCTCGCTGTAGCTAGATAATGCTGAGTTTCCGATTATTTCCGTCCTTGTTTGTTACCGATTGTACTGAATCCTATGTGCTGTTAACTACTTGTCTCAAACTTTAATTAGTTGGGGATGATCGGTGGATTGAGTTCTTGGCAGCTCATACGAGTGAAGCGGCCACTCACTGACCTCAAACTTCAAACAGAATTTTAAGTCAACCGAATTATGAACCAAATGAACCATACCTATCAAACTGAATTAATTGAAGAAGAATATTGCTTTTGTCAGAAACTTCAGTCATTTGTGACACTGCATCATGGGCAGTTAAGTTGGTCTTGCCATGTACAGTGTGGTCTCTATGTAAGTCATTCAGACTATTCTTTTCTTTCGTCAGGAGAGAATATCTCTTCGAAATATAATAGCTGTTTCTTTCTCTATCAATGTCCATGGTATTCATTGTTGAAAAGAGATCTGTAGTTGAGGCTCTGATGTTAAACTCGTCTTGTCACATATCAACAATGACTAGATGGGGAGTTGTACTATCACATATATCTAGCCGATATAATGATGGTCACACAAGAGCTTCATTTTTTTTTTTGTTGAAAACTGTAAAAACAAGTATCTTGCACATACATGCTGCTATTCAATTACAATATACAAAAAAGACCTTTCTTTGATGGCATGAGAATGTATAAAAAAAAAACCTGGCTTTCGAACTTCATGGTTTTTTCTTTGGGTTGAGAGAGAAAGGGAGGGAGAACAAGCGCAGAAAAAGAGAAGGAGAGCAGCGGGGTCTTTGATGATAAATTAGCAAACATATATGGAATTAAGATTTGGTTGCTTGAAAGCCATTTGATCTATTCCAATGGCCTTATCATGAAAATGGGAGGATATTTTAGGTAATGCCCTTTACGTGGGCTTTGTGCCATCATTTTCTCAATTGAACTTTCTTGATTTACAATCTGTAGTAAATCCTCATAGAGAAAAAAAAGCTGGTGTCTGCGCTGTATGTGCCTATGACCAAGCATTTTCTTGTCAACTTCTGGTAAATTTGTAAACCTTAGTGCTTGTGGCATGAGACCTTGAGGAGAGGTGAGTTGGGTGATACTAAATTAATGGATGTGCGATGTTTTTGACAAGCATGTTCTCCTTCCCATGCTATATGCAGGCTACCGCAATCTTGTTCTGTCTGAAGTTGTGTGGTATTCTTATATGTTCTGATGGGTTGGAGTTATTTGCAGGTATTCTAGCCTGCCTGGATGGATATATGAACATAGCAATGGAACAGACGGAAGAGTACGTCAATGGGCAGCTCAAAAACAAGTATGGAGATGCTTTTATTCGAGGAAATAACGGTAATAATGTATTCAAAATTTCTGGTGTTTTAGTCATATCCTTGTTGACTTGGACGGATGCTAACTGGTAATGACTTATTGCAGTTCTGTACATCAGCACTTCAAAGCGGACTCTGGCAGATGGGGCTTAGCGTTGGTTGATTGTGCTATGTAATGTAGCATGTTGGAGTTATGTAGTCATAACTTTTGATGGGTACATTTTTGGTTGCGGGATCATCCGGCTCTGGAATTGTGGGATAGTAAACATATTCCAATTTTAGAGCTGATTTGTGATTCTCACTGATAATGCTGCATCTCATGAAATCGGTTTGTGAATTGCTTGACGAGGACTCGGAGCGCCCCAGCTCTTTCTATTTTAGCATGTCGTCGTGTATACCTGGCTGTCTGTTTGTGTATTGCCAATTGGCTTTCATGCTGTCCAGTTTATGAAGGCGGCGAATTGCACTTAAGCATCAACCTTAGATGCCATCTATCAATGTCTGTATAATTGACTGTATTGCAAAAGTTCCTGGGGATAATTGATATCATGTCCGTTAGGAAATACCAAGTCATATTTTACTATGAAGAATGAAAATCCATCAATTCTTAGTTATGGAGATACACAAACTAGCGAATCCTTTTCAAATGAACACCGTTAAAAAATGCTGTGAGGATGGTAAGTAAGACAGTTGATCCGTATGAAATATGTCATCTCAGTGTTCATAGCACATGTCTCATTGAGATTTGTAGAAACAATCAAAATGTGTCGTCAACAGCCAAATAAAGGCTAGAAGCTCTTCACTTTTGCTCAATATCTACATTTGTGCTTCTCCCCTAATATGACTCGCTGCATGTGATAGCATCTCAATCAACGCTCTGCTTATCACCTTCCCCTTCATTTCCCTGAGGCTTTCCATCTTATGGGCCAAATTTATACCCTCGCGGTAATTGATTGAATGAATCGGATGAAGCTCATTGTAAATTAGTGAAGGCTTTATTCGAAGGTCATAGTGCCAAATGATTAGCTCAGACTAGTGGTATCAAAATGTTAGTTGCCAATGGCGGATTCAGAAATTCCTGGGTCTGTCTCGATCATCTGATTTGGTTTTCTTGTGTCATGTTGAAGTTATTGTGTGCTTCTTACAATAAGGACGTCCCATTTCTAAGTCTGAATTAACTGTCATAATTTGACGTGTCGCTTGAAAACAAACCTTCCCCTCATCGGCCTCTCACATGCTCAGCAAAGTTCTCCGGCACTGTATCAAGTATAGGCCTGTATGGGAAGGTACTCAGATAGTATCTAACTCATCTTGTGAGAAAAAGAAAAAGGAAAAGTGTAATTTAGAAGATTGAACCCTTTTTCAAATCTTGCTCAAAAGAAGTGAGGATTGAGATTCTACTTGAGATGAATTTACATCTTAAAAAATTCATTTGAGAGAAAAACACATTAGCATATTAAAATTTCAGTGGTTAATATGCATTCTTCTTATTTTTGTTTTCCGTTTTTCTCTTTAGTTCCCTTTTCTCCTTTCTTCTCCTTCTTCCCTGTCCTGACAGCACCGTGAACAAAGCACAGTTGCCGACGGCCGCCATCCGTTGCCACTTCAGGTGTCGCCACACCACCCATCAGGGCCTCTGCTATGTTCATCCCTTCTCTCCCTCCCTTCTCTCTCTCTCTCTCTCTCTCTCTCTCTCTCTCTCTCTCTCTCTCTCTCTCTCTGTTGTGATTTGAGGTCGCCTAAGTCCTGTGACGACCTCCTTGAGTGGCTGAGAGCAATTCACATTCCGCGGGGAAGAGGGCGAGAAGCCTCGTCAGGACGGTGGTGCAATAGAAAGCACGCTAGCAGCGAACGACAGTGGTGTTTAGTTGTGCCTAGGCAAGGAAGAGAGCTGAGAGAAAGTTTTGGAGACTAGGGATGGCTACGGAAAACTTGCAATGTAGAAAAAGTTTTCCTAACTTTGTCCGTTCTTCTTATTTAGAAAAATGAGCCAATGAAAAATACTTTCATCATTAACAACTATCTATGCGTAAATAATTTGTATAAGTTTTTTCTGAAGTGTAAGGGTGTCTTTTAGGTGTTCAGACTCTCGCAAAAAACATCTAAACACTTCTTTTGGGCATTTGGTCCTTCAATTGATAAGAAATTAAGGATATGATTCCACACTTGAAATTATACAGTTTCATTTGTCTACAAAATTTAGAAATATTGTTCTTTTGGAAATGATATTTTCACCCAAAAAAAAAAACAATTCTTTCACAACTTGTTTAAACTCTATATATTGATTGGACTAATTTGCTCTTATTACTCATCCATAAACCCCATGAGGATTCTTGATATGTATAAATACAGTAATATCCTCTACCCCTTGGTATTCAAAAGAGGGCTTATGGATCAAGGAGGAGTGATTATAGACTCGGGAACCACGCTCACACCCCTGAAGGAAGAGGTGTACGTTCCACTGCAAAATGAGGTCGAGAGTTTGATGGCAGGAAAGCTGGAGAGGGTGAGTAATCCCGAGTTCTTTTGCTAAGCAGGGAACATGGAGAGAGATTTGACGGGATTTCCGGTCGTCACCTTGCAATTCTCGGGCAGCGCGCAACTTGGCTTAGACACCAACAGCATGTTTTTCCAGTTAACGGCGGACGTCTTGTGCATGGCCATCAGTAAGTCATCACCTGATATGAACGGTTTATCCATTATTGGAGTGCTGGCACAACAGTCCTATAATATAGGGTATGACATCAAACAGGGCAAGATTTTCTTCCAAAGGATTGAGTGCAGTGCTCTCCAACCACTTGTATGATCACATGCGATTAAAAATATTCTAGCGATACGGTATCGATGTATTCAATATTTTCTTGAGTAAAAATAAGAAAGGGGATAGGAATGGCTTTTTTGTGCAAGTAGTTACTTTGAGAGCCATTTCTCCAAAGAAGATATTTGAGTTCAGATTTTTGTTTAACCGAGAGACTTTATAAAATCCCTGAGTTGCATCAATGAACGTCCGAGTCTAGATTTGATTGAGTTTAGTGTCTTCGCTGGCTTCATTTGTCTATTTCTATTACATAAGCTGTGGTCGATTTCTGTTTGTCCTCGTTAGAAGCAAATCTGGTAATTGCTCACTCCACAGTTTATTTCTATTACATAAGCTTTAGTCAATTTCTGTTTGTCCTCGTTAGAAGCAAATTTGGTAATTGCTTAGTCCACAGTTTATATGAGACGAGCTTGAATTTGAATATTGATGAACTTGGCCGGGAAACATCTGAACAAAATTGGATCCATCCTGATGGCGTTAACGCTTGTATGCTTTGGATTTGGTTGAGAAGCATTTGTAGTTGATATGACCGTGATGAGATTTGATGAGATTCTGTGTTTGTATGTAAAACATGGTTTGGTAGTGAGGAAAATAAGACTTAGATTTATGAACGGAATTCATTGATTCATTGATTGACTCACTGGTTGAGGAATGTATCTGCATCTTCAAAAGAGAAACATGTAAGGGTACAACAGATGGGGGCAGAGAATAGTGAAATAGTGAAATGTGTGACGGTTGACTGCGCTTTCTAAGCTAGTTGTTTGTCATGGTGTTGTTTGGTTTTTTTTTTATTTATTATTTTAGCGCTAAACCATTCTCTGTTTTTTTAACGTGATATGGTGTTGCTGGTGCAAACAATAACTTGGTCATGCTTGGTGGGGAACTGACTTCTGATTATGATCCTCTTTGGCCTTGAGATACTTGAATTAACATTTCAGGTGTGTTTGTTTGAGTAAAAGTGTTTTCCGAAAATTAATTTTCCTGACTTTTCGCCGAAAATGACTAGTCATCCGAAAATACTTTTCGATCAACAAAAATGTTCCCATATAAAATTAGGAAGGTAAATTCCTAAATCTAAAAAAGTCAAAACACTATCCGAAATTGTTTCTCTTTCCCGAGTTGACTCAAAACCGACTCGTCTCTCTCTTCTCTCAGCAGCAGAGCCTCGTGCTTTGCCACCGCCTCCTTGCAACTCCCACTTCGGACAATTATAATTTTGGATGACAATTTTGCTTCTGTTGTTATGGTTGGTAATCGACGATGGTCTATTGTGGTATTCTGCCTGAATTTAATTAAAAGAGGAATTTAGCATGTTCATGACAGTGTTGTCGTGTAATTGAACTTTCTTGAAAAGAGGTGTCAACCGATGGCAGTTAGTTGTATTGGAGCTTGAGTACATAAGTTACACGGAGAGTTTTCTTTCTGGAAAGATGTGTACTAATTTGACTGGATATACATTGGTATTGTGCATCTTTACTTGACTTGGGTACCTAGTCTAGGTTCCTTAAACAAGTACTCCACAATGCTAAAATTTCACCTGCACATATGGAAATTTTTCTGATTTGTAAAACTGCAATGGAATTGGGTCTCGGCAAATCTTTTTTTCTTACTTAATGCGTAGTTGAATATTCGATCCCACGTGTCAACTTAATGATTTCGATTATCAGGGGTTATGATTTTGAATCTGGGGTTGATTAATCCTTAGAAAGTGCAGTGGTGGTTGACAGACTTCAAATTACCTGTGGAACGTAGGTTGTCAGGGGGGAAGATCACTGTATGCAAATATTCAGAAATTTATTGTTCGTAAAATTCTGCACGTGTCAATGAACGTGTTGAACAAGTAATATAATGATAAGAAGAGTACCGTCTCACAGAGATTAATGATAATAAACCAATTAAATATTAAAAATAGACTAATTCTAAATTTATCTAATAGATCAAAATATAATTGAGAACAAATAAAAATTGACGATTTTTAAAAACGAAATTTTATAAACTAAAGGCAGATAATCAATCAGGTAAAACATGTTAGAGCATCCGATTTCACCATAACCACTAGATATGAATTTCGGATCATTATGCATACAAGAACAATATCAAGCATGTGATAGCGGAATTTCCTAATCTATTTACTATCCTATCTCTAGGTATAGCAAACCTACTCAGTTTATCAATTCACTATATTTCTATGTGAATTTAAATAAACATAAGCGCATTAAAATCTGTGAATATTCCCGGTTTACAATGAATCTTTTGGACCATCTTATCACCGAAAGCTACACAAATAACGTGGTATATTTCTATCCACATTTAATTCATGGTTATATATTATAAGGAGCAATTGCATATTATCACTTCTCAGTCTCAAACATGCACATCAGATCATTCAAGTGGTGGCCAATCACCTAAACGCATTAAGTACAATAATATATAACTCACATGAATGAAATTACTTGCAAAGCATAAAAAGCATGAAATTCATATCATCATGGTTAGGCTACATCGTAGCTCTAACAAAGAAAATTAGAACATAATAGAAGAAGAAACGACAATAGAAATTAAACCAAACATCTTGAATCAAAGAACAAGAATTTTGCCACCACTTTTGTCTTCTCTTCAAAATACTTGAAAAACTCTCAGAACACTGAAAACAAAAATGA